TTCAAGGGACTAGGGAGTCCAACCTCCCTCTGTGGCTTAGTGCCAGCTGCTCCTCTTCTGCTGAGAATGGCAGGCAGGATTCAATGGGCACAACATGGCAGGAGGTACCTGGCCCTCAGCAACACCTCACTCTGCAAGGGTGGAGTCATCCTGTCTGACTCTTCAAGACCCCATTTGGGGTTTTCTTGGCAAAGCTAGAGTGCTTTGCCATTTCCTTCTCCAGCTCATTTTATAGAAGAAAAAACTGAAGCAAACAGGGTTAAGTGACTTTCCCAGGGTGACAGAGTTAGTAAGTATCTGAGACCAGATTTGAACTTGGGAAAATGAGTCTTCCTGACTTGAGGCCTCATGTTCTATCCACTGTGCCACCTAGCAGGGCATCCTCAGAAATGCCTACACTAGGAAGCTACACTTCCCAAGAACTGGAAAGTGTTTCCTGCCTTCTTCCATTCATTCAATAAATAAATGCCGGTGCAGCGAGGTGGCGCAGTGGATAGAGCACCAGCCCTGGAGTCAGGAGAACCTGACTTCAGATCTGACACATTAACACTCACTAGTTGTGTGACTCTAGTCAAGCCACTTAACCCCAAATGCCTCACCCAATAATAATAATAAAATAAATAAATGCCAATAGTAGAGTGCTGGGCTAAATAATAGGGGAGACACAGTTTAGATAAGATTCAGTTTTGTAGTTCGCAATTATTTTCTTGAAAACCATTCACAAATGTTGAATGAATTGAGTTGAATCAAACCAAGTTTTTCAATGACAATAGGACACAGACTACCCAGTGGTGCCATGGGCATAGATGGCAAAATCAGAAGGAGGTTCCTGTTGAGGGGTGAGAGTGACCTCTTTCCTCTTTCTGTTTCCCAGGCTTCACCTAGAGAGCTATGACATTGATTCTTTAGCCCTACTACAACTTGCACTCAGGGAGCAGAGAATACAAGAATAGTCAATTAACATTTTTTAAACACTTATGGTGTGCCAGACACTGTGCTAAACACTAAGGATACATAAAGAGCAAAAGACTATCCCTGCCCTCAAGGAGCTTACAATCTAATTGAGGAGACAACAAGCAAACAAACATATACAAACGAGCTGTATATAGGATAAATAGGAAATAATCAAAAGAGGCAGTAGCATCAAGAGGGGTTAGGAGGCTTCTTGTTGGGATTTGAAGATGGAATTTCAGTTGAGACTGGAAGGAAGCCAGAGAAGGCAGTTGTAGGGAGGAGATGAAGAGTGAGAGCGTCCTAAGCATGCTTCACTCCTTAATGACCTAGCAGGTCTAACATAGGAATTTTCTGCTTCCACACGTATCTTGATGGTTCTATGATTAGATAACCTAAGGAACCTCAAGTTACATAACAATAAATCTTCAGATAATATGCTCCAGGGCCATTTCATGGCACACACATGGTAATCAGACTATGCCAGGGAGGGGGATTAGTAATGACACTACATGAGATAGGGTTCCTTTTTAAAAGAGCCCATTCCCCATGCATGCTCCAAGGGATACAGTTAAAATCCTATTTTCTCTATTAATCATTCCCTAAATTCAGTCTTATAATTATTTTTAATGTTGACAAATTATTTTCCAATTGTTCAATCTGCTAAATAATCTGGGGTAAAGATTTAGAAAATGAATGCTCAGATACTGGGATAAATCAGCACAATGATGATAACTCTGTTTTATAATCAGGGTTAAGTAAGAAAAGTGAAAAGTGAAAGAAACTTCAAGGACATTTATAAGCTACGGTAGAAATTCAAAACCCTATTATTACATTTTCCATGATTCATAAGTTCCTGCCAGCATTTGCTGTTTTACAACTGGATGTGACTGTGGTAGTTATTACTCTCTGGTTAAAACTGGTGGTATTTCTAACATACAACTCTATGTAAAAATTTAACCTTTTTGGCTGCTATCAGAAACCTTCATTTACATGATGAAAAATCACTTTTTCATTTTCATAAAGACCATCCTTAATTCCTGTATTTTGATGAGCTTTGCATGTTTATTTGATACATGTGTAGACTGACTGAACCAAAATGGCATGAATATCCAGTGACAAAAATTGTAATGAGACAATTTGGATATATATAATTCTCTCCATGTGGTTACATAAAATTAATAATACATGAATGAAAAAACATTTATGGAGCAATGACTATATGCAAAGTATAACCTTTATTTCCTTAACCTACTACTCCTCAGAAGGGTATGATTAAATCAATTTGCAGATGCTGTTCCCTGCTATTAGTTATCTGCTATTTTTACATGATCTAATAATTCACAGAATATTGATTAGGATTGTACTCTTCAGGCCTGGACCTACTCTAAGTTACTGTGTAATTTTCTAATTCTTTGAACTTTTTTTTTCAATATTTTAAAAATGTCTTTATTTTTATTCTTTGGGTCTACTCCTAAAATTAGCAGATCCCTCTGAGTTTCTAATTTAGAAAACATTACAATAAAGATCAGTTCAGTCTTGTCTGACTTTTTGTGACCCTATTTGGGGTTTTCTTATCAAAGATACTGGGGTGGTTTACCATTTCCTTCTTCAGCTCATTTGACAGATAAGGAAACTGAGGCAGAGTTAAGTGACTTGCCCAGGGTCACACAGATAGTAAGGGTCTGAGGCTGGATTTGAACTAGGAAAATGAGTCTTCCTGACTTCAAGCCTCACACTCTAGCCACTGGACCATCTAGCTGCCCCACAATAAAGATTAAATACATCAATCTTTATTTTTAAAGTAATTATAACATAAATGTATATTTAGCAAATCAATAAGGGTAGACTAATCAATAATCTAAACTAAATCTGAAATATCAATGTGCCTTTTTAAGGTTTTGGTCACCATATTGAAAAGTAACATTGTTTATACTTATTAAGAAAAAATCAGCTGCTACGCAAATATCACAAAAACTATTTTAGATTTGCTGTTTTGATAAAATAAATATTAGAAATTAAGGGGGGAAAGGAGGAAAGGACCTATATGTATAAAATACTTATAGCAGCTCTTTTTGTGGCAGCAAAAAATTAGAAATTGAGGGGATACACATCAATTGGGGAATGGCTGAACAAACTGCGGTGTATGAACGTAATGGAATACTATCCTGCTGTAAGAAATGATGAGCAGGATGATTTCTGAAAAACCTGGAAAGACTTACATGAACTGGGGTGACTAGGTGATACAGTGGATAGAGCACTGGCCCTGGAGTCAGGAGGACCTGAGTTCAAATCTGGCCTCAGACACTTGACACTTCTAGCTGTGTGACCCTGGGCAAGTCACTTAACCCCAATTGTCACACACACACACACATACACAAAAAGACTTACATGAACTGATGTATAACAAAATGAGCAGAATCAGGAGAATATTGTACACAGTAATAGCAATGTTGCATGATGATCAATTATGATTGACTTAGTTCTTCTCATCAATACAGTGATCCAAGACAATTCCAAAAGACTCATGATGAAAAATGCTATCCATATCCAGAGAAAGAACTGATGAAGTAGGAATGCAGATCAAAGCATACTATTTTCACTTTGTTTTTTTCAAGGTTTTTTTCTTTTGGTTGGCTTTCATAACATGACTAATATGGAAATGTTTTACATGATCGTATATGTGTAATCTATATCAAATTGCTTACCATTTTTTGGGAGGGGTAGGTGTAGGAGGGAGGGAAAAAAATTTGAAACTCAAAAATTTTTAAAAATGAATGTTAAAAATTGTCTTTACATGTAATTGGAAAAAATAAAATACTATTAAAAAAGAAATTAAGATGCTTAATAGTTTGATGGCTACTAAAAATAAAGAGTTATGTTTATGTTTAAGGGAGAGCCAACAATTGGAGATATGAAGTTTATATACCTGAAATATTTATGAATTAATCTTAAATCCCACATACTGAAACTGGTCAATTTGAGAATGCATCAGTACATTTGCAAATTAGCAGGCAAAACGAGAAGCTTGATTCATGATTGTAAAAATTATTGAGTTTGTTGTTTTAAAAAAAATTGAATTAAGAATCATTAGAAAGACTTTAAAATTTCCCTTATTTTTAGTTATATTAAAATTGAGGTTCTTTATCAATTATTTTGAACATAAATTTTCCATTCAATAGGGATAGGGACTATATCTGTGATTCCATAGTATAGGGAACTACAAGATGAAGAAACTCCCTCTACCAATGAAAGTTGCCACTTTCTTTGCAATTAATTGTCCTAGAGAGTTGCCAAGAGCACATGAAGTTTAAATGAAACTTGTACAGGGTCACATAACTGTTCTGTCAGAGGCAGGACTTGAACCCAGGTCCTTCTGGCTTTGAGGGCTCTTTTCCATCCACTTCAACACACTTCCTCTCATTTCAACTTAATTGTCTCAAATTATCTTCATTTAAAATAAGCCAGTTTCTGTATATGGTCTATAACATAAACATATAGGACTCAAGTACCCAGCTGTGGTCAATTACAGACTGCTGATAAAATGTAAAATACTAAAGCTAACTGGCATTTCCTAATTGTGGGTGTGCATACTATTTCTGGGCAGCTAGGAGGTGCAATGGATAGAGTACTGGACCTGGAGTCAGAAGGCTCATCTTCCTGAGTTCAAATCTAGCCTCAAACACTCACTAGCTGTGTAACCCTGGGCAAGTCACTTAACAGCAGTTTGCCTCAATTTTCTCATCTGTAAAATGAGCTGAAGAAGGAAATGGTAAACCACTCCAGTATCTTCGCCAAGAAAACCCCAAATAAGATCACAAAGAGTTGGACATGACTAAACAATGACAGACTATTTTTAAATGCAAAATAAAGACACTTCAGAAAATCAGCATCCATTTGTTGGTTAGAAGTTTGGCTTAGGCCTACTATGTATTTGTATTTGTATATGATATTTACTTTTGCTAATATCAAAATATCAATATGATAGATGATACAGGTTGATATTGGTGATAGGTAGACTGGTAATATTTTAAAGATACATTATATACCTTCGAATACTGGTCCATAAATTGACTCACCACCATTGCCTTTTCCCATGTCGATATCTGAATAATGGAGAGAAATATTAAAAAAATTATGTGAATATCAATCAGTCACATAATTCTTAAATGTCTACTCTCTGACAGGCATTATGCTAAATAATGAGAATGCAAGACAAAAATGAAACAGATTTTGTGCTTACATTTTATCAGTGGAAACTATGTACTCTTATTAGTGAACACAAAATATTTACAAAGTAAATTCAAGGTGACTTTTTTTTTTTTAGGTGGAGAGGAGGGGAGGTGCTGGCAGCTGGGGGAGAATCGGGAAAGGCCTTATGTAGGTGGTGGCATTTACTGGATCCAAAGACTTGGAGGAGAGAAGAGGATACATTGTAAGCATGGGGATCAGCTTCTGCCAAGGACCTGAGATAAGAGCTGGAAGATTGTGTATAAGAAACATCAATAAGGCCAACTTGGTTGGATTGTCAGGTAACTAAAGGGGATGAGTGTGTAACAAACTTGGAAAAGCTGGTTGAAGGCAGGTTGCAAAGAGCTTTCAGTGACAGAGGAGTTTGTATTTGGTCCTAGAAGCAGCAGAGCACCGTGGAATTTACTGAGCGTGGGAATAACATGCTTTAATACTGTCACTTTGGCAGCTGTACGGAGGATAAATTGCACAGTGAAGAGATGGAAAAAGGAGACCAATTAGGAAACTATTGCAATAGTCCAGGGGAGAGGTGATGAGGTCCTGAAGTAGGGTGGTGTGGAAAGGAGGCAGATGCATGAGGTCCCATGGAGGTGCAAATGACAAAAACCTGCAATTGACTTGGACATGTGGCTTGACAGACGGGGATGCCAGCTTGGGGGAGCTCCCTTCACTAAGGTAGTCGGTGACTTAGTAGCTAAGTCCTAGGGATTTGGCTGAGTCACAGCAAAGTTGCCAAGGATCACACAACTAGTAACTCTCAGACCTGGCAGTGAACCCAGGTTTTCTTGACTCCAAGCCCAGAACTTGAGTCATTATGTCCTCTTTATCATTGCGCCTCTTCAAATAAGAGAGTAAGATACAGAATAAAAAATACAAAAAGATTAGGATTTGGAAAATGAATGTACACCACATAGGTCAGAAAGTAATAATTACAGATGGGAATTTTGTTGTAAGATTGATTCTAGCTGCGACAGTAACATCATCATCATCATCATGATTGCTACCATTTATATAATGCATATTATGTGCCAGGCACTGTGCAAATGTTTTACATAATTATTTACAAATTTACAAATACTGTATAAATACTATCTCATTTGATCCTCACAACAACCTTGGGAGGTAGACTCTATTATTATCCCCCATTTTGTAGATGAAAAAACTAAGACAGAGATTAGGTGATTTTCCCAGAGTCACATGACTAGTACACTGAACCAGTTACAAAGTAAGAAATAGCTGGTAGGCTTATCAAATTTCAGATTTAAACAAAGTTGTGAGAAATAGCTAAATATGTAGGGTAACATAAATGGGAGAGAAAAAGAAAACTTCTTAAATGACTTAAATGAAGGACTGAATCTAATAATAAGAAATCAAATAGAGTTCTAGGTAAGTTACTGCACTTAGGTTAAAATAATCAATTGCACAAGCATTTCTTTTTTGAACCAGATTTGTGATGATTTCATTAATGTAGGGAACTCCCAGTGAGGAAACGCCCTCTTACAAATGCAGATCAGTACCTGGTCTACAACCTGTAGTAGTAGTAGCTATACATTTTAGAGAGTTGCCTGCACAAGTATAGGGTAGAGCACCTGCCCTGGAATCAGAAGGACCTGAGTTGAAATTTGATCTCAGATATTTACTAGCTGTGTGACTCTGGGCAAGTCACTTAATCCCCAAATGCTTCAAAAAAAAAAAAAAGTAATTCCACAGAATCATAGACTATCAAGTTATAGAGTGAGATGTCATTTGATACAAGCTCCTCATTAAACAGGTTAAGGAAACTGAGGCCCAGAGAATTGAAATGTCTTTACCCTTGTCCATTAATAAATGGCAGTGCCAGAATATAAACTGGGGTCTATTGAGTCTAAGTCCAGAGCTCCCTCTACAATACCATGCTGTCTCATTTCCTCCTGCCTATATTGCTGTAAAATGGGCAGAATTAGAATATAAATTCTTTGGAATTCTAAAGCAATAAATAATTGTGTTAAAGTTTGATTTGAATTACAAAAATATAAACTACTTCACAATTTTGTCTACTCCTGTTTTTCATGTAAATAAATGGAAACTACTAATATTCTTATTTTCCTTATGTCTTATACTCTAACTACCCTCTAGCAAGGGCAAACTTTTATTTAGAATGCAGACGCCAGTCATGTTTAAAAAGCAGAGACAGATATTAAAGGCAGTTTGGGAACTCTACACAGGAGAAGTTTGTGCATTATCTGTATTGGAGGAAAAGAATATCACATGATCTAATTTGATGTGACAAGTATAAAAATCATGCTGTTGACTTAGTTAATAGATCAGGAGGGCACTCATTTATTTCCCTAATTCCTCTCAAATGTACTCTTACTTTGAGGTCTCCTGACTGGTGGTCATATGAGGGTGTAAATTTTTAAGAGGGCCATGCAGCTAATTACTGGATGATCAGGAAGATGAACGAAACAAAGTCCAAGGATAGCCCTTGCTCTGCATTTATTGGCCCTCAGTCTCTTAAAATAAAGCTCAAAATTATATGGGGAGGGGAAACATAAGAGGGAAGGAAATTTAAATATAATTTCTTTAAGTACCTGCCAATATCATCAAATATAAGCAAATACTTCTCCATGACAAGCCAATTATGTTTAAATTACTCAGATTGGTTGTAGATAGCAGTGCCTAATGAGTGCTACTGATGGAAAGCCATCTATCTAGATGTTTTCAAATTTTCATTTTATTATTATTATTGTTATTAAGGCACTTGGTTTGTAGAGTGACAAAATAAAGGCCTAGAAAAAATAAATAAAACAATTAGAGAATGGAAGAATCTTGAAGGGAGAAGGAAGGAACCTCAGGCACCATCTAGTTCAACTAGTGCTTGAATAAGAACTCCTTCTATATCTCCAAGGGCTATCCAGCCTTCAATTCAAGACATCAAAGGAGGGAGAACTCGCTACCTCCTGAGGCAGCCCATTCCATTTTGAGAGAGTTAGGAATTTAGACGTACATCAAGCTGAAATCTGACTGCCACTTTTACCCACTGTTCCTAATTCTGCCCTCTTTGGCCAAAGTAGGACACCTCATCTCTTTTCCATGTAACAATTCATCAAGTACTCAGAGTGCTATCATGTACCCCCTAAGTCTTTTCTTCAAGGTTAAACACCCCCAATTCTTATAAGGCACGGTCTCAAAGCCCATCATCATGCTAGTGTCCCTCCTCTGGGTTTTCTCCAGTTGCTGATGTCCTTCCTAAAATGTGCTCTCCACAAATAAATATAATTTTTCAGATATAGTCTACAGAGGGCAGAGTACAACAAGATGGTCACCTCCCTCGTCCTGGGGGATATGATGCCCCAACTGACGTAATGTATGGCTGTTAGTTTTGGGGTTCTGATGTCTCCTGCTGTTGCTTTCTGTTCAGCTAAAACCAACACATTTGTCACTCACATTTCATGTAGTCATATGTGGTGACTTGTACTTGGGAAGCTGATTGTTTTTTTAACCCCATGTGTAGGATTTTACATTTTTCTCTGCCAGATTTTATTTTATTAGATTTGGTTCACTGATTTAGCATATCAAGACATTTTTTGGGATCCTGCCTGTCATCTAACATGTTGTCTATCAGTATTATATTTGTGTCAGAGGCTGCTAGATGGCGCAGTGGGTAGAGCTCTGGCCTTGGAGTCAGGAGGACCCGAGTTAAATCCGACCTTAGACACTTGACACTTACTAGCTGTGTGACCCTGGGCAAGTCACTTAACCCCATTGCCTCACCAAAAAAAAAAAGTTGCTAACATTTGTGTCATCTGCAAATTGGATAAGCATACCATTTATGCTTTCAACCTAGTCATTAATAAAGACATTGAACAGCATGGGGCCAAGGACAGATCCCTGAGGCACTCCCCTAGAGATCTGGTAGTATACTTTTGACACGTTTCCCACTGATAATTATTTAAAAAAGGAAAGCCTTTTCTTTCATTACTAATTTTAAAAAGCTTTACCACACAATTCAAATATTAATTTCACATAGTTCAATAAAATAATATTTTGGATATGCTGATTTATTGGTACAACTTAAATTTATTTCAAAACAACTTACCTCCTCCTTGTAACCAACCACTTTTTACTAATCTATGGAAAATAGTATTTTTGTAATGCAATTTTAAACCACTTCGAGAAAACCCTGCATTCCCCGTGCATAAGGTCTGAAAGTTCTGACAAGTTTTGGGGCAAAGATCAGCATAGAGCTAAAAAACAGAAAAGATAATTTGCAAAATTAAATTCTCAAATTTCAGATTTTGGGGGCAAAAGGGTAATTAAAAAAATTATCTCTTACCTCAAATATCAATCTTCCAATGGACTGTTTATTTATTGAAACTTCCAAGAAGACCATGGGACGCTATTAATTTAGGAAATAAACAAAGAAAAAAATATCAAAGTCAAATAATGCAGTCATAGCAATGACCCAACAAAATACCATAAATTTTGAACTTATCTGGAAGGAAAATTCATCCTGACTTGATTATACTCTACCAAAAACATTTCTTGAGGCAGCATAGCTTCAAATACTGATGCCTCTATCTTGACCTAGATTTGACACCTTTTTTTTTCTCATGCTGACAATACACATTTGAGGGAAACTGTCTGAGCCCTTGAAAGGGCATCCACAAACAGAATAATACTATAGTGTTGTTGTTGTTGTTGTTTTTTAAGGAAAGAACATTTCAATCAACAGGCATTTTTAAAGCACTTACTATGAACCAAGTACTATATAGGGCATATAAAACCAAAAATAAAGCACAATCTCTGTTTATGTTCTCAAGGTGTTTACATTCTATTGAATTTCATATTCAATTTTCAAGTTAATTTTAAATCACCTATGATTCTTATTTTTTAAAATAACTTTATTTGTCCTGATTAGCACAAAATGAAGTAAAACATAAATTATTTGTTTGAAAATGTCTATTTTTACTACATGCATTTTTATTTTTAGAAATCAAATACTAATTGTAATTATCCATATTATTATATGAATACAAATTATGATTAAGTTTATATGCCTCTGAATTTATATAAATCCTTAATTATAAAAGTTAAGAGTAATGATATCACTCAAGAGAAAACATTATGTAGAAAACAGAATAGGAAAGAGAAATGGGTTTTCTTTATATAATCAATGTATTAATTAAATAAATGACCTGGAGCAAATCAACTTAACCTCCCTGTGCATCATAGATTATAACTCTATATATGTACATATATAATCAGTATTTACAAATTTTATTCATCTTCATATGTGTTACCTATATAAATCCTAGCTTTGAGCAGGGTGCTTTCCAAATAATAAATGCTTAATAAATTTTTAAAAGATGAATTGGAGGAAATATGAGTGGGTTAGCTTCTTAAAACTTTTAGACAAGGGTTCGTAACCAGGAGTCTGTGAACTTGTTTTGTAAAATATTTTGATAACTGCATTTCAACAGTTTTCTTGGTAATCCTATGTATTTTATTTTATGCTTTTGAAAACATTATTCTGAGGGCAGCTAGGTGGTGCAGTGGATAGAGCACTGGCCCTGAAGTCAGGAGGACCCGGGTTCAAATGTGACCTCAGACCAAACACTTAACACTTACTAGCAGTGTGACCCTGGGCAAGCCACTTAACCCTGATTGCCAAAAGCAAACAAACAAACACAACATCATTCTGATAAAGGATCCATAGAGGAAGCTTCATTAGACTGTTAGGGGAATTCATGACACACAAAAAGTTAAGAATTCCTGCTTCAGGTTAATGATTTAAAAATCTTCATCTATCTATTTTCCCTGGGACATTTTGTTATTCCTAACTTACAGTGGACAATAGTTCAGAAGAAGGTGGGTAGGACTATTATAAAGTCTCACTGAGAAGTGAGCAATAAAGACTGCAAAAACTAGAAAGCAGAGAAGGGTCATTGGTTTTTATGGAGGTCAAGGCCTCATGCAAATATAACACCCTATTATACATGCTCAAATCCTACCACAAAATGAGTCTTCTAACTGCTCAGAGGATATAGCACTGTTCCTTTCCATATCCCCACTAATCACTGGGAAGATTCTTGAGTAGGATAGCAAAAATACAGTATCTAAAAGAGCTTAATCCTACAGTCAATTCAACAACATTAAGCATCTACTATATGCAGAGCACTGTGTTGGGATTAGATAGAAAATTTTGACAAAATGCAGTTTCTAACTTGATGGAGTAAGTAAAATGGTTAGGGATTAAGACACAGAAAACTATAACATAATATTACATGATAGTGAGGTGGATAATCTGCTGGAGACTCAGGAAGGGTTTCAGGGAGGTAGTGATTTTTGGGTTGGGCTTTAAAGAATAATTCAATAAACAAAATGAGGAAAGGGACATTTCAGGCACAGGGAACAAGTCAGAGCAAAGGGCTTAGATTCAGGAAACTGCAGTACATTGGAGATTAAAAAGTAGTCTAATTGACTGGTGTAGGGATTTTTGAGCAGAGGAAGATTTTGTGTCCTAAGATCAGTGCATAAAGAAGATGAGTCTGGTAATGGTGGAGGAAGATGGGTGGAGGCTTAAATGTTGCCCATGGTTATGAGGGCCTATATACTAGGATTTGACCAGGTAGGTGTAAGCTGAAGTTGTATCAACAGTACTTGATTGGATATTGTTTATCCTTCTTTTTGAAGAGGATCAATGACATCAGGGATGATGACTTCACTTGCTAGTGAATTAGATTTAAGTGAGGCAGAGCTGGGCAAAGATGTCAGCCTCTCTCTCTCCTCCAGAGTCATTTGAGTGCAGTGGCAAGACATAAGTCAAGATGACTGGCGATGGCCCAGGATGCAGCGAGTGAGATGCCAGAGAAGAATGAGTCAAACAACTGCTGTTGACCTTTAAAACAGTAGATTCAGAGGTGTGAGGGGAAGGGAGATGGAAGGCAAAAATTAAGGTACTGACAAAAATGTGAATAATGAGGAAGCGGAGGCAATGGAGACAATATTTAAAATTAATTTAGTAGCAAAGAAGAGGAGAGATGGGATGGTGACTAGATAGGGGAGAGGGGTCAGTGGAAGGCTTTGAGGAAGGTCTTACTGTGTGTGTAAGCAGGTAATAATGGCTCATTTATGTATAGTGCTTTAAGATTTATAAAATATTTTACATACATTCTCTCATTTGACAGGCAGATGGGAAGGAGTTATTAGGAAGTGATTAAAATACAAGAAAAGAGCACAAAAACACTGATGGGGAATGCTGGAAGCAAGGTTCTGATGTAAGGAGGGTATGGAATCAAAAGCATAAGTAGAGATTAGGTTTAGTGAAGAATAGGAAAAAGTCTGTCAATAGAGGGAATGAAGAATGGAGGAGGGCCAGGAGTTTAGCCTTCAGGTATGGAACAGTGGGGCTCAGGCAATCGATTAATAAACATTTATTAAACACCTACTATGTGTCAGATGCCTTGTCAGGCACTGAGGATGTGAATGGGGGAGGGGGAAAGACAGCCCCTGCCCTCAAGGAGCTTACAATCTAACAGGAAAAGAAAACACACAAAAAGTTCAAAATTGGTGTTGAGGCATTATAACGTCGAGTTCAAAGGAAATGGTGGAAAATGAAGAGATGGTTGGCCAGGGAGCTCTATTTAAGTGCAGGCTCTGGAAGGAGTTCTTTTCTTCCACCTCCAACCAGAGGGAAGGGGCTACTGAGGGTTCTAATGAGGTGTTATGTACCAAGGCTGATGAAAACTTAAAAGGCTGATAAATTTCCTCACGATTAGGTTTCTTGGAGTCTAAGTCCAAAGGGAATTGGCTGCCATGAAATGCTCTCTGCTAAAGGCTAGGACTACCTGGAAAGTTCTGCCCCTTCTGGCACAAGGACGCATTTGCCACAGAAACTCCTTTGAAAAAAGACCTCCCCGCCTGACACTGGAGATTCTGTTACGTTAGCCCAGCCCTGGCCTTTTCACTCTCTTGGTTTCTCCAATTCTAATCCAGTTCATTGGCCTGTTCTCCACCTTCATAGGAACTCTATCCTACCTACTCTATTTGTGAGGAATCTCAACGCCTTTCACCCCATCCTAACCCCTGACCTGTCTTTATCTTATTTTTTCCTTTATCCCTATACCTTCAGAGGAACAGTTTTATCTCTGAACATGTTATAGTTGTTTTCTTTGTGTACTGAGGAGCATCTCATGGCACAAACTCAGAATCACTTCCTGGTTCTATGGGGCCACATGGAAGTCTACTCATCAGAGGCAGGGTCCCTCCAGAACTGAACACAGTCCAAACCATTTGCATGGGTACAGAATGGGGACAGGATGTAGTACTTTCAGCCCTTGTGGTCAAAGCTTGGTGGTCTCCCAAAGTTAGCTTTGTATTCATTCTCCTTAACCATATCCTGCATTGAACCCTGTTAATTAATCTCCCAGGGGCCTTCATGACAGGGCACCATCATGCTTTTTTGTTGCCTCCATCACCACAGTTAAAGAAACCTCTTCCTTCACCAGTCTTCTTTCTGCTCCCATCATAAAATGGGGGCCTAATCCCTGACCCTATCTAGATGAACTTATATGTATTCATAGCTTTGCCTATTACCTCTATGTTGGCATCTTCAAAACATTTATTTGATCCTGTCCTTTCATTTGTTAGCCAGTCCCATTTTGATTGTTTTCAATTAGATGTCTTAATGTCACCTCAAATTTGATGTGTCCTGATGAGAATAAGCTCCTTGAAGTCAGGGGCAATTTTGTTTTAATAATAGCAGCTAATTTTATATAGTGCTTACTATGTGCCAGGCACTGTGTTAAGCACTTTACAATGATTATCTCATTTGACACCTACAGTAACCTTGAGAGGTAGATGTTTTTATTATTCTCATTTTACAAATGTGGAAACTGAGGCAAACAAAGAATAAGCGACTTGCATAGAGTGGTCACAAAGCCAGTAGGTGGTGTAGGCCCAATTTGAACTCCCAATTTGGAGTCTTGCTCACTCCAGGTCCAGTGGCTATCCCAGTGCTAGTACTTTGGGAAGAATGTAAGCTCCTTGAGGGCAGGGAGTATTTGAATTTTTGTCTTTGGATCTCTAGGAGTGTCTGGTACATAGGAAAAACTTTGTTTATTCAACTGAATTAAGAGAAACACAGTCAATCCTCAACATTTGTGCGTTTAGCATTTATGTGATTTTCTTAGTAACTTCATTTTTACTTTCATGTTGGCAACCAAGTACATTTGTGGCTATGAGAAGCAGAGGAAAAAAATGGGAAGTGTGATGGTGTATATATGCAAAAAAGGAGGAAAAAATTTGTAAAAGTATTAGTGAATCTACTCCAGAAAGTGCTAAAGTGCCCATGAGGGAATTGAAAAAATGGAAAAGCAGCTAAGTTTGTGGGTAAAT